ACATCGTGTGAGCTACACATTCCGAAGGGGAATTCCACAATCAAGGTGGCTATCGGTCTTGTTAATCCTATCGACCGAACCAAGACACCAAGGATTTATGGGAATATAATCCAAGAAGGATATGCTACCATCTCGGTAAATAAAGCTGAAAAAGGTTTTAGTGATTTGCCTCTTGACATTCCTAGAGGTGATGGCGAGAAGACTCTCGGAGAAGCAGAGAAGACATTCATTCTATGGTGCAAGCGCTACATCATCATTCCCGGGATGTCGGCTCCACCTCCTCCTGAACTACCTCACCATAGGTGCGGATGAAAACACTACATCATTAATTTATATTGGCTTAAATAATTAACAATCTGCTCATAATAATATGTCATTCCTTTTTTTGTAGCAGATCCTCCCCCAACCTAAATCCAATTGTTCAATCGCCAGATCATCATAGTGCTCTGTACGATGACAATGTGTTGGAAGGCGAGGCTGCATCCACACCATCTCCAAGGAGGTCTCCAACGCCGCAGCCGCCACCTCCAAGGAGGTCTCCAACGCCACTGCCACCATCTCCAAGGAGGTCTCCAATGCCTCTCCTGCCCCCGCCTACCAAGAAGCCAAGTACTAGTAAGAGGTCAGCCCCGCAAACGAAGAACCAGTCCCCGCCGGCAAAGAAAGCCACCGTGAAACCAAGGGCTATTCCCAAAATAGTATCTGAAGAGAAGGAAGAAGTAACTGATGCATATAAAAAAGATATGTCTAGATTCTATGACAAACTTAAAAAGGGTCAAGAAGCAAGGAGAAACCCGAAAAAACCGTACTTCTTAGTAGCTCCAGATATTCTAAGAAAAAAGGTGGCTTCTTACCAGCAACAACAGCGGGAATCTCGTAAGCCATCCAAATCAACGTTAACGGACTATGACCGCACTCTCACCAAGTCAATTGAGGCGGCACAGAAAAAGAAGCGGGCAGGGAAAGGATTTGCCCAACTTGGACAACAATTACACCAATTAGTCCCCCTGCTAGTTGTTGGTAATGAATATGGTTCGAATTTAGGATTAATGCATCAGGCAAACATACCTCCGGATGTCGATTTGGATCACCTTGGTCAATTTATTCAAGAGACTGGTCTCGACCTTTACCAGATGTTTGGTGATGGAAACATTGAGAGTGCGGTGGAGGTTGATATTTGGAAGAAAAAATTTGTACTAGGCCAGAGTCTATACAACCCTCAAGCCTTATCTGATCTGGGGACGCAAATGTACCTGCTAAACAAGTGGTACATGCAGGCGTCTACCGGTGGAGACTTCTGCGTTGGTGTCAGAATTAGAGACGAACATTAGTTCCGTGGCGATGATGTTATGTATGTTGACTTTGTAGAATTTCATCAACTATGCCACCTAACCTCTCTAAACAAAGTTATCATTAGCTGCTATTGCCTGTAAGTAATAATTCTTTCGATCTATTATTAAACTCATCATATGTGTGTATATGCATATAAATTATCCTAACAAGTACTATATATATGCAGATTTACAACGACAGAGCTCAGAAAGGAAGGTTGCAATGAAATTGGTTTTGTTGATCCCCCAGTTACTCCAAAGACTAATTGGAAGTCTGAGTCAGAGAGTAACCTCATGAACTTCTTAGTGAACCAACGCCACAAGAAGGATATACTCTTTCCCTACAACTTCAAGTGAGTGTTAATAATGTCGATCATCCTTAATGGCTCATATGTTGATTCTAGTTAATTAATGAGTGTTATGCGTTATATCCTATAAACACATGCAGCAATCACTGGATATTGATGGACATCGATCTGGTGAAAAGTCACTTGATAATCTATGACTCGATGAGAAAACCACAATAAGACTACCAAGATATGATAGATATTATCCAGAGGTAATTTTGGTATCTCTAGCAACTATATATACACACAAACAAGATGATTAACTATATCTGATGACGTGGCAAATTTTTTATTGGGCAGTGTTTGGAAAACCTTTATTGAGAAGCAACACATGGGAAAATGCAAAGCGCCACTGAATGTAATCCCTTTGAAAGTAAGTCCCCTAAATCGCATCATCTTTATTAATTAAACATATAGCTTTCACCGGATCACCAGATTGGATGACAAATCTTTTTCTCGTAAAGTGGTGTCTGAGGCAGGAACAGGGGAACAACTACTGTGGTTACTATGTTTGCAAGTTTATCAAGGTGATCTCCCAAAAAACTCCTACAGAGAGACTCAAAGTACATTAAAAATACACTATATATTCATTTAATTATTATTATTGATTGTGTTACTATGTCTTTATATATATATATATGTATGTACATATATTAATTTATTTTCCTTTAATTCAAACCAGTAGACTCGATGGTTGGAGGAAAAGGTCATACGGCAAGACCAAATCAAAGCAATTCAAGAGTCTATAGCCGGATTTTTTAATGAGCAGGTCATCGATTCCAAGGGCGAGTTCTACTTCGACCCAACACTGCCATTGAAGCCAAGCTAGAGGATGAGAGAAAATTGTTATATCACAACAACTGTAATGCAATCTTTTGTAATATATGCACATGAAATAATATAATATAAAATACACATATGCATGCATGCATGTAAATATATATATGATGCATGCATGCATATATATATATATATATATATATATATATATATTTCTATGCTTGAATTGTGTGATTTAATACATTCATTGTGCTTGAACCGAAACATACTATACGCACGTATAAATGTATAATTAGCAGCATACAATACGACTTCGAAAACCTATTTTGAAAAGAAAAGAAAAAAATGAAAAGAAAAGAAAAAAGAAAAAAAAAACTTTAGTCTCGGTTCGTATTACCAATCGGGACTAAAGGTGCCGGTCATCGTGGCATGTCAGGAGGCACCTTTAGTCCCGGTTGATGTTACCCACCGGGACTAAAGGTCCTCCTTTAGTCCCGGTTCCTGATCCGGGACTAAAGGACCCCCTTTAGTCCCAGATGCTTGCTCCCGGGTCGGGAACCGGGACTAGAGGGGGTTCCCCACCGGGAGTAAAGCTCTGTTCTCTACCAGTGGTGTGTTACTGCAGGTTTTATCAAAAAAAAAACATGTGTTACTGCAGGTAACGTGTCCATACATGTTAGATGACTGTTGGTAAAACATGAGTGGACAACGTGTTTGTAATGGTAGTGTTTTATTGTTTGTAACATTTGGATCAAAGCAGCAGTAAAACCACTATCAGAAAATTGCTTAATATCAGGTTTTTGGATTGTTAGAAATTTATGTATTTTCATGTTAAAATTAATCCAAAAAATTATAACAAATTTATGATGACAAATATGTGCACGTGTGTGATTTTACTACTGCTCAGATTAGTAACAAATATGTTCATAAACAACATACTCATCATAGCAAAAATGAGATTGAATTTAACCAATTTGAGAATAGAGATCTACCCTGCGGAGGGACCCATGCTCAAAGCACTGGTGGCTCCAGTCCCACTCATGGTGAGTTGCTCGAAGTCGTGGACCACAGTCGATGCAATAAGATCTACGCATTGTAGTCCCTCGGAAATCCACCGAGAAGTAGATGATCCGAGGAAGAAGAAGAAGACGTCGGCAGTCACCAGGAAGAACCGAGCAGTTGCGAAGACGCTCCCCAAAAACTTGATCACCCTCACACCCGAGCAGATGTCACAGATGTAGACGGCGGTTTCGGAGGCCTACTCTCCCAACTCTCCGTGCGCGCAGAGTACCGGAACGGGGAAACTTACAGCCTGTTCGTTTCGGCTGAAACAATCGTGGATTATTACTGCTGGCTGGTTTGGTGTGAGAGAAAAATATTGTTCTGGCTTATAATCCACGATCGTTTACGACCAAGCGAACAGGCTGTTAGAAGGCAACGCAGTAGTGAGAAGTAGAAAACACTAATTGACTATCTTAAGATTTTTCAAACTAGAAACTTCCAATGATAGTTCTATTGTTGTTATGTCTTTTCCCAGGAGGATTGGTACATATATATAGCAAGGAGAACTCCCTACCTCCACATCAACTTGCAATATGGTACTAATTGACGTTGCACCTTCCACCTCTACTCATAGACTTAAACAATAAAGCCCATTAAGGAATACATATATTGGGCCTTAGAGATTTATTAGAATTTCTTCATATGGATTTAGGAAATTTTATCCATATAAATTCTAACAGTACTCTGCCTGCTGTTACTAAAACTTTATCCAGTCATGCGTAGTTCGTTCTTAGCCAACAAGAATGGCTCCTGATTGGCAGGTCCCTCAATATTTGTCACCTGCTGCACAGGAACAGGGCAGCCAACGGTTGCCAGTGCTGAGAATAGTGCCAAATGTTGCAACTTTTCTTTAGCTCCAAAGGTTGGGCTTGGATCAGAACAAGAGAAACAAAGCATTTTACTCTCAGAACAAAGGAGAAACAGAGGAATAACAAGCATACAACAATATATTTTCACATATTTATAGACTTCATGACCGGCATCATGTCTACTGCTTCTGCGCATTGGTAAATTATACTGAAAGGGAAAGAACAGCAATGGAAAATGACACTGGGTGGAAGTTGATGTGAGCATCTTGCAGGGAACTTCAGGGAGCATATTGTAATCTTGCTTTGAGGTATCATGTCATATAGCTCACAACCACGACTCACCTTGTAAAACCTGACCCATCATGGGTATTTTTGTGTTTAATGGGATATTGCGCAAAGTTAGGTGGAAGGAGACACATTTATCAAGGCTCCAGGATATGCCAAAAACAACAATAATATATTGGATAGGATTCATCAGTTTTACATTTCCAAGCTCATTACTGATTATCAACTCTTTCCAATACAACACTATTGCACCCATGCATTTATGGGAGATACTATATACTGATATATCCTCCCTTTGGGCCTATTATTCAATACAAGTGCTTTTGTATCTTCGACTGTACAGTACACACTTAGAAATGCTTGACGCAACATAGATGAACTTACACTTATCCATCGATTGTTTCTTCACGTGTATGTGCTGCATGAGAAGGTGAGACAGAAGGTCGTTTGTGGGGAGCCAATTTCTGATAGACATCCTGCATTTCTGGCCTGAACTGAGGAGAAGTTTGCAGGCAAGCAAATGCAACTTCAACAAGCAAAGAAATTTCTTTCTTCTCGACCATTGTTGGTGATGACAAGCGTTGGTCCAACATATCCTCTATTGCAATTTCATGATGCTGTTCCATGGAAGCAATGGACTGTAGCTCTCTAGGGTATCTCCCCATCACAATCTCTAGTGCAACGACACCAAAACTATACACATCACATTTTGTAGTCACCACTGATGTGTAAGAAAGCTCTGCATCAAAATAAAGCAACTGACAACTGTCAAACATAGTGACGAACCAAAGTGAAATTTTCATATTTGCAAATTGTAACATGAATATATTTGCTATATGCAAGAAAAAGCTAACTGACCACATACCAGGTGCAATATAGCCATATGTTCCAGCTAGTTCACTCCAGTTGGATGAATCAGGTTTGAGCATCCTTGCTATTCCAAAATCTGAAACATAAGCCTTGAAAGCTGCATCCAGCAAGATGTTGTTGCTTGTTATATCACGACCGATGGATTATTGGTGGGTTGCATTCATGGTGCAAGTAGTAGATAGCTTGAGCCACATCTCTTGCAATAGCAACTCGCTTTTTCCAGTCCAACTCCTTTGCAAGATCCTCAGTTTCCAAGACAATATGAAGGTTTCTCTCTCAATGAAATCATACACTAAAAAATTTGTACCTTGGATGGGAGCAAAATCCATACAGCTTGACTATGCTTCTATGTCGTATCTTTGTCAGCACTTCAATTTCACTAAGGAATCTCTTCTCATCATGAATCCCTTCTTCAGTTGGGTGAAGCTTTTTCACTGCAACTGATCTCCCTCCTTCAAGCTGTGCCTTGTAGACTGTGCCATACCCCCCTGATCCAATGATGTACCTATCACTGAAATTTTCTGTGACCCTAGTGATGTCCTCAAATACGAGTTTCCCATCAAAGTTCCACACCGAGAGAACATCTCTTGTATCTGTAACTGTTGTAATTTGTGGTCTTTTCCTTTCGCAAAGGATCATAACTAACACAACAATTGAGAGAATAATAACTATGCACACTGGAATAAAAGCAACTAGGACCATGTGGTGAATTCTAGCTTTGTGATTTTCCTTTATTGGAGTTGAAGAGCATGTGGGCAGGCCTGAGATATTACCACAGAGTCCTTTGTTGTGGAGGAACCATTTTGCTGAGGCATTGTGGAATAGATGTCCTATTGGAAGAGGCCCTTCCAAGTTGTTGTATGACACATCAAGTGTTGACAGACTAGCCATGCTACCAATGGAGGAAGGAATGCTTCCACTGAACTGATTGTGGGAAAGGTTTAGGACCTCCAACATCACCAAGTTCCCAAGTTCTGCAGGTAGGTTGCCCATGAGTTTGTTGCTGCTTACATCCAACACAATCTGTAGCCCTCCCAGACTACCAATAGTCGTCGGCAGAGGTCCACTCAAGTTATTGTTGTTAATCCTTAAGGATATTAGCATAGTACAACTCCCAAGCTCTTGTGGTATTGGTCCACTCAATTTATTTGCAGATATATCGAGGTATTGTAAATTTTTCAACTGACCAAATTCAGGTGGTATAGTGCCTGAAAGTTTGTTGTGTGACAAGTTGAGCAAGTACAGGTTGGCAAGATTGCTTAATTCTTTTGGTATACTGCCAATTAGGTTGTTGGCATGTACGGTAAGTACCTCCAATTTTTCAAGGTTTGAAAACTCGGGAGGCAAGCTTCCGGCTATCATGTTTTCTTCCATAGCAAAAAAGGTCAAATTGATGTTTGAAGCCCAGGTTTTGGACAAATATCCGGAAAAGTTGTTTCTATCCAATTTTGCTTTGATAAGTCGTGGGTATGGCCCGAAAGATGATATATCTCCTGTCATTTTGTTGGAACTAAGGAAAAGAAATTTCAGGCTCCTACATGTTTCAAGGCTTCTAGGAATTGGGCCTGTGAACATGTTGTTGCTAACGGCAATCCTTTGAAGATTCCCACCTTTGCAAATGTTAGAGGGCAGTTCCCCTGACAGAGAGTTGTTTGTCAAATCGATATTTGTTAAGTATGTAAAATTAGCGAATTCTCGTGGCAAAGGACCTGACAGCTTGTTCAAGTGAAGATATAGGAATCTTATGCTCGTGAGGTTCGCGAAAGTTGCTGGGATGGAGCCAGAAATCTCGTTTTGGGATAAAGACAAGGTGTGGAGATGCACCAAAGCGCCAATCTCTGCGGGGATGGATTCGACGAACTGGTTTTTACCGAGGCTAAGATGGTTTAGCGTAGTAAGGTTCCCCATGCTTGGGGGAATGGGGCCGCTTAGCAGGTTCGAATACAAATCGAGATCGCTTAGATTGGGAAGCAAACAAATCCCGTGTGGAATGAACCTTGACAGATTGTTACTGAAAAGGTGGAGGAGGTTTAGTTTGGTCAAGTTGCCAAGGCTTTTAGGTATCTGACCGCTTAAAAAGTTGTCGCCTAGGTCCAAAAATTCTAGATCGGGGAGGTTCCCGAGCTCCTCAGGGATTGGTCCAGTGAGCAAGTTTTGTCCGGTGCTGAGAGTAACTAGTGTCGTTTGGTTCCCAAGGGATGCAGGGATACGGCCTGTGAGGTTGTTGCAGCAGAGTCCCAGCTGGCTAAGCCTTGCCATGTTGCCTAACTCAGATGGTATGTTTCCATGGAGCAAGTTGGCGCCAAGATCGAGGTAGGAGAGCTCTGGTAGGGAGGTGATGGCCAGCGGGATCACTCCACGGAGGTTATTGGAGGAGAGGTCAATGTGTGTGAGGAATGGGAGCGTCGAGAAGTTAAGCTCACCAAGGTAGCCGTCGAGGCCGGCATTTGGCAGGGAGATCTTGGTCACCGCAAGGGGCACACGGCGGCCACGGTGCACGGCGGCGCATGCCACGCCTGTCCAGTTGCTGCTGCACGGGCTCGTCCCTTGCTGCCACGAGTCCAACGCTGGCGACGAGTTCCGCAGGGCGGACTTCCACTGGAGGAGGGCCGCTATCTGGGACCCGAGATTGACGCCTCCATGGTGCCCTGCTGCGTCCGCGTGCAGGAAGAGAAGACACGAACGGAGCAACACGAGTATTATTAGCTCTATCATCGCCATATGTGCGTGGTTTTCTTCCTTTGCTGAAGAGTGATGTATATATAGTGTTTGTCAGCTAAGCTACCTGTAGTGGCCTGGTCAATTACATTGGGTTGAACCCGGTGGAAGTTTTGGAAAAATTCTAGCATTTGGCTGCAGGAATTTGTTAACACACACGCATGTGTATATTGTGCATGATGAAGCGCAACAAAGATATTCCCTCCATTCAAAATTATAACATGTTTTGACTTTTTAAAATACATAGTATTTTTTGGCTACATGCTTAATTATTAGATATACACTATATATATATATAGTATATTCAGTTGCCAGCTACAAAATAAGTTATTCTGTAGCCACCTCCATTTACGATAATTTTATATACTAATTTACGATAATATCAATACATATTTACGATAGTTGGGTTACTATAACACATGGGGATATTTACCATAACGTTATAGTAAACCACTTTGTAAGGAGTTACTATAATCTCGTAAATTAACATAGTAATTATCGTAACTCAAAGTGGTTATAGAATAAGTTATTTTATAGCCAGCTACAGGGTAGTAGTTCTATATATATATATATGCCTAGATGCATAGTAAAATAGGGGAAAATAATATATCTAAAAAGTCAAAACATCTAATAATTTGAAATTGACGGAGTAGTATTTAATTAGTTAAGGTAAAAAACAAACATGATAATATATCTTATTGTTCTATTTTGAAAAAAAAAATCCTTATTTGCCATTGGCCATTGGCATAAATCAAAATCCTGCAACCACTATTCGCCTATATGCAATCAACCTTAACTTTAATCTATTCCATGCCACTAGTGCTGTCGCCAATGGTGTGGTGATGGAGACACACACTCAGTGGCACACGACGAACAACAATGCTTACCGCGGTTTTGACCCCGCAACAGGTAGCACTAGGGCACGATAGCAGCGGTGGCACCAGATTGGAGCGGATAGAAGTTTTAGGAAATAACATATACAAGGTTTCCCTTCTAGCTATTTGCTACATTTATTCTCCATTTTGTATTTGCGAAAAATGCAAATGGGATGATGAGTATCCGTTCGTCGAGAAGGCTTGATAGTCCTAATAAAGGTGAGGGTGGGAGGTTCTATTTTGAAGAATAATAAGGAAGCAGAAAAGACCAGTCGGACTAAAGGATGAACTTTGGAAATACGTCTACTAGCTAACTACTCCCCTCATTCCAAATTATAAGACGTTTTGGAAATACCTCTGCGACTCGGGCGAGGCGGCGCAGGGGCTCCGGATTTATAGGGGCGGAGCGACGTGGGCGGCACGGCAAGACGGTGCCGTGGTGGCGTGGGGCTCTCAGCCCGACGCGGAGGCGAGACGGACGCGGAGTCCATGGCAGCGGCGGTGGAATCCGGCTCGATGCCGACTCAAGGTGGAAGATGACGTCGTGCTGACATGCGGGCCCAAGGTGGCAGTGGCACGGAGCGAGGGGCCGATCAGTCAGAAGAAGAGAGGGAGGGCGCGGACGATGCGGCTGGACTAGGCCGCTTGCTGCTACTGCGCGTGGAGAGGAGAGCTGATGCGCGGCGACAGCTGGGCCGACTGGGCCGGGGGCGTGCGGTTGGGCCTATGGGAGCGGGAGCGGCGACGCGGCGCTGCAGGCTTCGCGAGAGAAAAGAAATGGGCCACCGGGGAAACAAGACCGAGCGGGCCAAACTGAGTGAGAAAAGACTTTCTATTTTCCAAATCGTTTTTCTATTTTGTTTTCAAAACCAAATCAAATTCAAATAGAGTTTCAAATGTACTTTTCACTCAAATAAAATTGAGCAATTTTGGTAAGTTTTCCAAAAATAATTTTTTACAACTTTTAAAATTTTTTTTTCTAATTTTCTCTTCTTTTACTTCAAAGCCAATTTCAAAAGCATTTCAATTTCATTTTGAATTTTGGATTCAACCACCCATTACAATAGATCAAATGCACCGGCATGTATGCACATCCATGTTGCTACCTTATGATAAATTTTAAGTTAATGAAAATTTTTATTTTCCTATGTTTCATGAACACAAAATACAAAATTAAATTAATTTTTATCTTTTTCAAAAAGGCAAATTTTAGGGTGTTACACCTTCTTATTTCTCTCCACGAACCAAACAAAAGATTGAGACTAAAAAGTCAAATTCCCGCCTTGATTCTCTCCATCTACTCTAATTATTCAGGTTTCTCGTAGCGTGATGTGCTCATCCATGATGAACGGATTCCCTCAATTTCGAATAACAGGTCATTTTAAGTTTGTACTAAATGAAATTTCTCAAGGTCGAGCAAGTATATAGAAAAGTACACAAGCATCTAATCCATAATAACATTAAATCAGATTCATTACACCATGTAACAAAATCTTGATGATGCATTCGAATATTGTAGCTGTCAATGTTACAAATTTAAATCATAATAAAAAAGAAGGAAAAAGAGGAATGGACCGGTCCATTATCGCGCTCGACATCCCGCCGCAGCCGAATGTCAAGACTGAGAGTACCAACGATCAAATGAGAGGTCGGCGTGCGAGCCCACTGCCGCCTGCCGCTTGGGCGGGGCCCATCGGTTTCCCATCGAACCTAACTATAGCTGGGCACTGACTGCAAATGTGTTCCATCACTCTGCGTCCGCAACCGTGCGAGCCGTCAGTTACAGGGGCGCGGCAGCCATCAGCGTCCTTCGCCGCCCGATCTGCTGTATATTTTTGTTTGGGCTGCCTAGTTGCTGCTGAGCTGCCCATACCTGGGACTAGCCCTTTTGCCTATTAGATCCGCTGCGTACTGGCCCAAGTTGTGGTGCCGAGTGCTCGCCGCTCGACGGTCGGTCGCTCGGCGATGCAGCGGCGTCGAGCCCCAGCGGCCGGCGCAAGATGACGGCGACCTGCTCCTGGCGGCAGGCTCTCGTGGATGTGCAAGACGGTGACTGCAACTTGCCTCATGTGGCCATGGAGCAAGGAGAGGAGCGAGCGGCGGTAGGGAGCAGAGTTGGAGGAGCGCTACCACTATTGGAAACTTAAAATTCCCTGTCGGGTCAATACAAACCGACAGGGCCGACAAAAAAATAACGAAACCAACAGGATAAATATAATTTTACTGTCGGTTTTCCAGCTATCGACGGAAAAATATATAGTTTTTCTGTGTGTTTTGGTGACACCGATGGAAAAATTCATTTTGACGAGCGCTGGAGAACTGCGCAGCCAACTTGGGCCTGGGCTGCGTTGGCCTTTCAGCCAGACCAACAGCGGGCGGGTTATGCCGCGGCAAATAAAAGCGGCGCCCCAAACCCTAGCGCCACACTCTGTCTCTCTTCCTCTCCCACCCATTGGCCGCCTCCTGCACTTCGTTAGACCGCGACGGCGGGAGATCCGGTTCTCGGCTCGCTCGCCCCGCGACGGCGCAACCCCCAAGCGGCGGCGCCTCCTCCGGTCACCAAGCTACGGCGCCTCCTCCTGTCACCAAGCAGCGACACCCTCCCCGCTAGCCCCCAAGCGGTAGCGCAAAGCTAGGGCGGCGACGACGGCGGATCTGACTCCCTCGTGCGGCCCCAAGCAGCGGCGCCCCCGGTACGAGCGGCGTCCCTGGTACGAGCGGCGACGATCCTGCTACCTCGCGCCCCCAAGCAGCAGTGGCGCCCCCGCCCCCGGATCTGACTCCGACGACGGCAGATGGGCACCCTAACCTCGTCTCCTCCTCGTTTTGGGGCTACGGCGGCGGATCCGGCTACCTCGCGTGCTCTCCATGTTCCTGGTCAAGCCAACACTAGCTCCACGCTCGAGGAATGATGTGGTGCCGTGCGTCCAGCAGGTCCTCTCCGGTTGTCCGGCATTGGCTTTTCATGCTGCAGGTTCTAAATCTCGTCTCTCCCAATCTCATATCTCCAATTTTTTGTATGCATATATCCACACAGAAACCAGCCAAAAACCTCCCGATTTTTGTAGTATTATGAAATATATATTTGTATATCTCCACACAGAAACCAGCCGGAAATGAGATCCTTCTCCACTCTGAACTGAAAATCAATCTAGCTGATAGATTAATGCAATGCAAACACAGTTGTAGCATGAATGTATGTGTTGTCATTTATTCTCATAATTTATTGGCCTGATGAGTTGTCCTGATTGTGGATTCAACATAATACTATGTGTGGCTATCAAAGTTGTTTTTCTTTCTCCAGCCTATGCATAATTTTGTGTTCTGTAGGGAGAAGTAAGGAACTGAAAAACTTGAATTATACTGAGTGGTGTAAAGGTACACTTGATAATACTGTCAGCACAATACAGTCTCTCCCATCGGCCTAGTTTTTATACCGTAAGCAGCATATGTTTCATGCAATGTGTGTTTTAGATTTTGGTAAATTAGCATTGGTGTTTTCTGTTTGGTCAGTATGAAGGAATTGGAAAGGCCAACCTTTGACATGCTATCTTTGACATGTCATACATTTGCATTACAGGTAAGAGACAACCAAAATGAGCTTTCTGAGGCATGTATTTGTTCTATGCAGTGGATCTTCGCTATATACTGAATCAAGGCAAATAAAAGCAGCAGCAAAAAATTCTGCATATGGGCCTAAATTTGTCCAAGCCGCTATCTGTTGATAAAAAAGTAAGTTAACTGGACAGCCAGACTCTTTCTTTAATTTATCTAGCTATGTCTTTGCATAGTCCGAAGCATTTCAATGAAACCTATACCTAGTTAAGAATACTCATCTGTAATTTGTTTCAGATTGAGAAATAGAAAACTTTAGAGAGTTAATTAAGTTCCTTTTTTCTATCTCTATGGAGACAAATGAATACGCTTGGACCAAATTGGATATGGAAATCTCTTTCAATCCTTAATGAGTCGGTCTCACATGTGTTGTAAAATAGAGGAACTGCCCCACCCATGACACAGCTCACAACGGCCTAGTATAATCTAGGGACTGATTTCCTGCAGGTAGCTGTCTGTGCTAGTGTTCCATGTTCCCCTCACTTTTAGTCTGCTGCTGAACTGGAGCTTGAA